TGTTCCATTGCTTGTGAGGCATGGTGCTCCCCCATCAATGGATTGTTTTCCCTTGAGTAAAGGGCATCAACTCATTACCAAATTGTTTTAGTTTTGTCATTTGTCAGGGATTAATACAAAATATATAGAAAACTCTTAAAACTCAACAACAAATACCAAACAGCCCCATTCAAAATGGGAAAAGGATTTGAATAGACATTTCTCCAAAGAAAATGTACAGATGGCTGATAACCTCATGAAAAGATGCTCAACACCATTAATCATTAAGGAGATGCAAACTGAACCACTTCATGCCCATTAGGATGCCTATTACCAAAAAACAGAAAATAACAAGTGTCAGTGAGGATGTGGAAGTTGCACTGTTGGTGGGAATGTAAAATGGTACAGCTGTTATGGGAAACAGTATGGGAGTTCCTCAAAAATTAAAAATAGAATTACCGTATGATAGAGCAATTCCGCTTTTGTGTATGCACCCAAAAATATTGAAATCAGGGACTTGAACAGGTATTTGCACACCCATGTTCATTGTGGTTAGTCATATTAGCTAAAAGTTGGAAGCAACTGAAGAGTCCATCACTGGGTACATGGATAAAATAGTGGTATGTCCATACAATGGAATATTACTCAGCCTCAAAAAGGAAGGAAATTCTGCACATGCTACAACATGAATGAACCTTGAGGGCATTATGTGAAGTGAAATAAGACACTCACACAGGGAAGAATGCTGTGTGATTCCACTGGAATGAGCACCTCCAGTCATCGAATTTATGGAGACAGAAAATGGAGTGCTTGCCAGGGGCTGGGGGAGGAGACAATGGGGAGTTAGTGTCTAATGGGTAACAGAGTCTGCAAATGGATGATGGTGATGGTTGCCCAACAATGCACAGCAGTGTGAATGTACTGAATGCCACTGAACTGTACATTTTAAAATGGTAAATTTTAAATGTATGCTTTCCCACAATTTAAAAAATATAATTATAAGACAATCCTGGGCTCTGTTAGAGTCTTCTTGAGGATTATAGAAGAGGAGGGAATGCAAATGTGCTCTCCCTTGCTTCCCTCAGAACTCCTTTGGGTGCTATAGGGTATGCATATTTAATTTGACTGAATTCATTTCTATGCACTTAGGTAAAAAGTATGAGAAAAACAGAAATTCACTGAGCAGGCCATTCTGCCCTCTGTTCCAGCCCCGGGAGTGAGCTGAGGGCTGCTGTGCAGCAAGGCCTTTTCTTATTCCCATGAATCTCAGTAAGCGGGAGGAGCTCTTGATATTTTAAGATGCCTGTTTTTCGTACAACAAGGCCTCTTATACACAAGTCAACTTCTTTATATGATGTGTAAAGGAAGGACAGAGATGGCTTCCAAGCTCGCACCAGAGACTCTGGCAGAGAAGGAGTCTGGTCTTCTGCCCTCAAGGAGTTTACCATCTAATGACAGAGTGATAAAATCAATGTAAATTAACACATATTTAATTCATACAAATCAATTTATGAATGTTTTCTCATCTACATATTCAGATACTTCACCCTCTTCCCAAAGGGGAATGTGTGGTGGCTTAGAAGAATAATTACAATTAAAATAAGGTAAACATTTTTTTATAAAGAATACAATTTTAAAGGAAATCTAGGTAAAAGGCAATAGAAAAATGAGATGAAGCCACAGAGAGAGTTAACACATAGAAATTTATGCTGTAATATCTTGCAAAATAAATACAGCTGGGCCTTGAATTTAGCTTTCAGATTTGTGTAGCCAAATAAAAGTTACAACACTCTGAGTGCTCGTAAAATAAGAGCAGAGCTATTGCTGAAGAAAAGCAAAGCTCTTCCTGTCTCCCAGTTCCTGAGTCCCCATAAAGGTAGACCAGGTAGGTGCTTGGTGAGGCAGGACCTTCATAAACATCCTTATGACAAACACAAGGCTCACCTAGCTTCTGGGATTCTCAGTGCATTTGAGCTTGGCGATATAGCACAGTGTAGTAGGAACAGTTCTCTACAGCTAAAACCACTGCTCTCCGGTTCTCTGGCTCCCTTTATGGGAAGCCAGACTGCCCTTAGGCATCCCCTAAGAAACATGATTCCTGGCAGGAATTTGATTTTGATAAAAATCCGGTAACGGACAGTTTAAAGTTACATTCTTTGGCAAGAACCTAGAGTGCAATTATTCTATATTGTAGCTTAAGATCACACCCACATATTTGAAAACCACTGAAGGAGAAAGTGGGGTTGACATTCTTTGACAAAAATTAAGAAGCCAACCCAGACTCATTATTTTACGAGCACACCTCGGCAGAGCCACTTAAGGCTGTGCTTGTGGGTAGGGCCAGGATTTTCTGTAGGAAGCTGTTCCAAGTCAGTTCCAACACCTGAATAAATAACAATCAAAGCTTCAAAATTCCACTCAGGGTAGCCTGCGAATAAATAAGAGTTACCAACCTGTCTTCACAGCCAAAGAAACACTTCCACTGGTACAGGGATGAATACTGTAAGCTAATGGACTAGAAGTGAGCTGCAAATTGTCCTCCCCCTCCCCCCGAGTAACTAAATGAATTGTCCTGCAGGGTTGTTGTGTCAAAAATGATGACTTGGTCTTTATAGTAGTTGATGTTGGGCCACTTTTGCTAATGAAAAATAGTAGAACCTTTTGTTGCCAAGGCCATTCCTAGAGTCGTGACAATGTGGAAGAGCATACTTATTTATCTGTTCTCTTTAGCAGCAATCAAGTGCCTAGATTGTTGAAAAGTGGTTTCAAATTATTGAGAGGCAAGTTAGGAAAGAGAACCAAAGTATATCTCTCTGTTTTCTCAACTGTAAAATGAGGATGCTAATAGAATCTATCTCATAGAGTTATGCTAAATATGTAAAAGCAGAATAGTAGCTGGGACATAATAAATAGTCAGTATATATTAGCTGTTACTATTGCTGTGATCATTTCTTAGAACTTTTGTTCTGAGATGTTACTGATTTGACAGAAGTAAGTCCTGCTAAACCTTACTCCATAAAGAAAGGGCAGGTTTTCTAAAAGAATCAGTCACTAGCTGGTCTCCTGAACTAATAGCATAGTTGAGACTGGGACTTGTGCACAAAGGAAAGTCAGTAATTAAGGTTGCAAGATGCCTTAATATGTGTTTTGATCGATCTCTGCAGAGGCTGATCGAGTCAGTTGTAGAATTACTGTTTCTAAAGCCTTGTTAGCATCTTGGTAGAAAAAAAAATGGTTTGAGAAATTCAGATTCAATTTTTTAAAAATAGAAATGGAAGATATCCCTTTCAAAAATGGCACTGAATTTACTCTGAGTTCACCCATTTTAGGTCATGCCAGTTTTATTACTGGAGGAAACAGACTGGTAGGATTTGGAACACACCAGTCACACCTACAGGACTTTGAAGAACTGTAGGTCTAGCAAGTTTGCACTGGGGGCTTGATGGAATTTGGGTATTACAACATTGAGGCTAGGAGCATGGGCTTTGCAATTAGCCAGGCCTGGAGTGGAGCCATTGGCTGTGCTCCTGAACTAGCTGTGAGCACTCCAACAAGTTGTCTGATCTTCCAACCTTCAGTTTCTTCGTCTATAAATCAAGATACTAGCATCCATTAATAGAGTTATCGGGAGGAGGTTTAAATAAGAGAATGCAATTAAAATAATTAGCACTGTGCTTAACACATTTTTGGTAACCATTATTAGTGTACTTTAAAATTAATTCTATATGTGTAGGTGCTTTTCCAGAATCTGGTCAGAGTAGGGCCTAGGGAGATTGAGAAACCTGTCTACAGTTTATAAAATTGAGAAAATTAAGCCTCCTTGAGGTCTGGAGTTGGAGTCTAGAGTTCTATAATCTTAGTCCCAAATCTAATTTCCTTACTGATTTTATAGTCAAGGAGGCAAAAACATTTAAAATAAGGTCTTAATTTTAAGTAAAGAAGACCAGGTCACCCTTTCATGTGCCCTTTCTTGTACCTCATGATTACCTGTCCAAGATTTTTTTTTGCTTGAGATCTCCAAGATTTCTTGGCCCTTTTCAAGCCAAGAGTAGGAGGCCAGGGCCCAAGTTTGCCAAACATGGACCACTGGACAAAGCCTGTTTTAAAAAGTCTCTTTAATAATTGTAAAACACATAAAATAATTCAAAATATAAAAATGTAAGAGGTATAAAATGAAACACAAAAGACAAATGAAAAATTAGAAAGTTAAAGTATGATTTTAAAAGGAAAAAGCTGTTTGAATTGAACTTTCAATGAAAGATAAGAGTAGAGAATGTTAAAAAGGCAAGAAAAATATAAGGCAAGAATTTCAAAAGGAAACAAAACAGTTCAAGTTGAAACAAGCCAAGCAAACATGTTATTGTCTGCTTTGAAACTCCTAGCAGCTTCTAAAGTCCTCAGCAAGGTCCTTTTCCCTGACATGGCCCATGATTACCTCTCCACCTTCCTCTTCCCACCTTCTCCCTTCCACCTTACATTCACTATGCTGAACCCCTGCCAGGTGCCTGAGCAGTGGGTCCCCCTCTCCTCTGGGCTGCTGAGTGTTCCTCTGCCTGCGGCACTCTGCCCCTCCTCTTGTTTGGCTCACTCTAGCTCACCACTCAGTTCTCCTTTAGATGCTGGACTTCACTTCCTCCACGAAGGCTTCTTTCCACACACTGGGTTAGGTGCGCCTTCCTGTGCTCTGCATCATAGCTGTTCCCTTGATAGGGATCTTCCTATCATGTGACCACCTTGTTCTTGGGATGTGTCCCCTGCACCTGCCATGGTGCCTGACACACAGTAGGTGCTTAATAAATTCGTGTTGAGAATATCCGTAGGAGGGGAGCCTCTCCTTCTACCTTACCAAGAATAATGCAACAACAGAGAGCACTAGTCCAGGCAGGAGAGCTTTTGCCAGACAGCATTATATATGTAAATGCCAGAAATTCCCACAGATATTTATTTTTAAGTAGAAATCAAGTATTACATAATTATGAGAGCCAGTAAAATATTTTCATGCTTATTCCATTTTCTTTCAGGTCATTCCTGTGTTTCTCACTTTGCACAATGTAGCTGAAGTTATCATCTGTGGGCACCAGAAGTGTTTTCAGAAAGAGGTAAAGATCATGCAAAATGTTGGTTTCATTTCCCTTACTTCAAAGAGGCACCTTTTTTTTTAATGGACAAAATTAGTGTCTACCTTTTCCTGCCATCTGTTCCCAGTTAAGACTGCCTGACTGTGGTCACTAATTTCAAGGATTGTGGCTTTGACATTTCTTCGGTTCACTGAACATATGTGGGAATGCTTGTTGATCTGAACGAACTCAACGCCCGGCCAGGGCTGAGCCAGGGCCTTGGGATACAAGGAGAAATTCATTGTGGGCCTGGTGGGGGGACCATTCCCACCCACAGCTAATCCCTGAGCCACGTGGAAAAGCTTGGCTGAGCGTCACAAGCTGCTGGGAGCCCTCACCCGCCTGGGGAAATGTCCTTTTTCCCCAGTCCCCACTCTGCCTCCCACCAGCCAGAGCAAGTTTCTTCACCCCTTCTGCTTTCCGTCTGTGCAAAGGGGATAGTGACCACACGCAGATCATAGAGTTGTTGGGGGGATGCAAGGTGACACACCTGCTAAGTGCTCCCAACAGTTTCTGGCACGTAGTAGGGGCACTGGGCATGTTAGCTATGTTAATGTTATTAGTGGTTTTAATTTGGTCCCTCTTCTGGGAGTTCCTTTTTTTAACATTTGTCCATTTGAAATGCTTTCGTATCAGTATTTTGGTACTTTTAACTAAAGGGAGTCTAGCCAGCCATTCAGGCAGCATGCTTTCTACAGGCAGGTATGGGAGAGAGATGGGTGTGCCCCCCACCAGTGGCCCTCTGCATGCCTGTGTACCTCTGCCATCCCGCTTGAGCTCCCACCCTCCTCTATCCTGGGTGGACCCCCTTCCCTCTGCCGGCTTACTTCCCTCAGCCCACAAACACGCTCAGTGTTCTCTGTCCACCAAGGATGGAGCAGGCCTTGGGCAATCCCCTCATATTAACCCAGCTCTGAAGGCTGTGCTTATAAAACCATCGCCGACAGGAAAGCCAGCCTGCTGCCTGGTCCCTGTGCCTTCCCCCTCTGCCTCATCGCACCTTGCCCTTCCCGCCATGGCTCCTAAGAGAGAGGGTCAGGCCAGTGCTGTCCATGGCCTCATGTCCCTCTCACCTTCCATCCACTCCTGCCCCTGCCTCTCCCTGCCCCCATTACCCTGAAGTTGTCATGGCTGAGGTCTCCGATGGCTTCATTTATGGGACTCAGCTGACTTTTCACACCATTCATCACCCCATGCCCTATTCTTGAATCTTTTGGTCCCTTGACCTTCATTTCCTGTGTCTGCTGCTTGTCTTCCACGTCTGCTCTTCCTTCACAGCACCTGTCTTTCGTCTTAGGTCTGCCCCTCAGGCTCTCCTAGGGCTCTGCCTCAGGAGCCTTCTGTTCCAAGCCACAGACTTTCTGGACAGTCACATTCACACCCACGGCACCAGCCACCTTCAGTTCCCTGGGGGCTCCTGAGCTCCCATGTCCAGCCCAGGTCTCTCTAGAGCTTAGGTCCCTGATCAGCTGGCCTACAGATCTCAGCTGGCTGTTTCCCAGCATCTGAAATGCAAAGGGATCGAATGGAACTGCTCTCTTTCCCTAACTTGCTTTTCACCTGTGAATCCCACTGCTGGTCATCACCACTCAAGTCAGAGATGTAGGGGTCCCCTAGGCTCCTTGGTCTCCTGCACCTCATAGCTGTCTCTTTCTGAATCTGTCCCCTCCTCTCCATTCCCAGCTGCTGCCACCTTAGCTCAGGGCCTCATCTGCCTGTCTAGGAACTGAGGGTTGAGATCCTGATCTCCTGAGCCCTCAGTGAAGCCAGGTAGGATCTGGAGTGAGCAGTCCTGGCTTTAGATGATCGTTGTTTTTTGGATGTGCCATAACCTGGCAAAGGCTGGGGGGCACCAAGCCACCCAGATGTATGCAGTGCCTGGCTGGTTTCCCTGCCTCTGCCTCTTCCCTCATTACCTCCTTCCACAGTGCACCTGAGTGGCCTTTCTAAAACACAGATCAGATCATGTCCCCCGTATACAGCCCTGCAGGGACTGCCATGACTTGCATGGGGCATGCAAAACCCTTCACCCCTGGGCCCATCCACCTCTTGGGTTTTAGGAATTCCATCCACAGCCAAATGTTTCGCTTTTCTTAGGCCATGTCCTGTTGTTCTCCTCTGATTTGTCAGCAGCCCTCTTAAACACGCCATTCACTCTGTGACTATCTTTGAACCTGCTTATGCACCCCTGTGCGAGGCCCTGGGTGTAAGGTAGTGAGCAAGAGGCATGGTCACTGCTCTTATGAACCATCAGCTGGGAAGGGGAGATAGACACTAAACAAATCATGAGACCCACTTGCTGGATTGTTGGCCAGAGAGGCCACTCTGGGGAAGTGACATTTAAATACAGACCTTGAAAGGTCAAGCAGGAGTTAGACCTGGTCAAGTAGGGATGGGGTCCAGGGGAGGTACCCAGGAAGAGAAAACAGCAGGTGCAAAGGACCAGATGTGGGAAGGTCACTTGGGGGCCAGTGTGGCTGGAGCTTGGTAAGAAAGTGGAGGGCTCAGGATGAGGCTGGAGGCTGGGGAGGAGCCTCAGTGGCGGAGCTAGCCAGGAGCTGGAATTTATGCTGGGTGCAGCGGGAGGCCATGGCCAGGGAGGCTGATCAGGTTCACAGCATCTGACTGCAGAGAAGAAAGGATTTCAGGACACGAAAAGGGGCACTGTGGTGACCCCAGCGAGACTCTCAGTACTGTAGGCTGATCTACATGCAGTTGGAGCCTTCCCCGCACCTCCACCTTCCTCTGTCATTTTACTTCTCACACCACATTGCGATTTCTGTATGTCATCACTTCTAACATGTGCTGCTTTTTCTTCACATTAAAAAATTTTTGCTTCTGAAACTGAAATGCTTTTATAATCAGTGCTGTGCCCTGGTCTAATTTTCTCTCTCTTAGTAGTCTATAAAAGAAAGGAAACTCTGTAATCAGTGGCATCCTAAGTTAAGTGAAGTACAAGAGTTTTTTCTCTGTGTCTCCGACTGCTTGCCCGGAGCCCTCTCATTGTAGGGACCACGTGGTTGTGGCCCCAGGGCTCAGCCCCAGAAATGCTGCCCAGCTGAATATTCACTAACTAGTCACTAGTTTTAGGTTCAGAATCTCACCAAGAGCAGCTCAGATTTGGGAGACTGGCTGAAGCCACTCAAATTCAAAAATGGCTTCTGATTCACAAAATAGATACTTTTTCTGTGAATTAAAAAAATGAAGATTAAGATTTACCTGGTTAAGGGATGATATCCAGGCATCCCATGGGGCATTGCTTCCTGATGAGACAGATGAGGGTGAGCATATAGGACAGGAGGCTGGAGAGTCCTCAGGGATTTTTTCATCAAGCCAAGAGGGCCTGTCTTTGGAAGGAACAGGATGGACACCAAAATATTTTGAATCTTCCATTCCATTTCATCACTAACACAGAGCAACATCATTTCTTGTCAGGGCAAATTAAGGAACAGCTGGGTGGATTACGTATCTATTTAGTTATTTTTAAAAAACCTCTCTTTAATGAATGTAAAGTTGTAGAAAGTACAGAGGAAAAAATCCCCGAAACCAACTGTGATCTAAGAAAACTATTCTTTCAGGCTTTCTTTCTATGCACATGTGTAGACACACTTACACAAGTCATAAAATGCATCCAGTTTTTTCCATTGATCGACTTGTCAGAAATCCCTATTTATGTCCTCATTCCACTCCACATGGAGTATGCTGTGTCGGCCGGTCCCTATTTGTAGACTTGTAGGTGGTTTCTAGTAGTTTGGCATCAACATCTGCTCTGTGGTAAAGATTGCTGTGATATGTTTTCAGTATGATTTATATTCCTGGTCATTCAGCCTAGAGCATTGCCTAAGTGGCCAGATATTGTGAGGGACACAGTCACACGCCATCTCTCAGGCTTCGCTTGTGGCTCGCAATGAGAGCTCTTGTGTCCAGTATATCAGGTTTCACAAGAACCAACTTTGGAGAGTAAAGTTGGCTTCCTCATGACCCCGTTCCTAGACGATGAGAATAACCTCTGTCTGGAGCTGTGGTTCATTGTCACCATCCACAACCTGTCCTTGGTGTATGCATGCATAAACACACGTGCAGTTCGACTACAAGGTAATGTGTGGCTTGTGGAATTAGTCTCACTACCTTGCAGATAGATTTATCACAGTTTCACATTAGAATACTGATATTCATTGATTTGTTCAACACATATTAAGTATATACCATATATCAAACATCTTGCTAGACCTACAGCTACAGAGATAGAGAGGACAGGTTTACCACTCTTGCAAAATTCAGGTTGTAAACATGTTGTCTGGTGCCCAAAGGATGACATATGGGCAAGAACAGGGGTGTGGGTAGACCAGGGTGACCACCCGTAAAGCCTGCTTGGAAAGGTCAGGCTAGATTTGAACCCAGAAACACAGATGCATAGGAATTTTCTAGGTGGGTGGGAGAAAGGGCACTCCAGGCAGGCAGAGGGAGCAGCAAATGAAGACTAGTGGCCTGAAGAGGTCTCATTGCAGGACTGGCAGGCTAGCTGTGGCAGAAGGGCATCATAAAAGGTCAGGCTCTGGAGCTAGATTTCCTTCACGCAAACCCTGTGACCTTGGACAGCTTAGCTCATTTCCCAGTGCCTTAGTGTCCTCATCGTAGCGTATAACCGAAGACTTAATTAACCCGTAATGAAATGAATCAGTACGTGTAGAGCACTTAGAATAGCACCGGTGTGGTATAGGCGGCCCTCAGAGTGAGCTAGCTAACCCAGAGCAACATCAGCTTTTAGTGTTATTTTTGGCAGCATGGCTTTTGAGAGGTGAACTGACCCATTCAGAGCACTGAGAGGTCATTAGACTTATTACTGGGTGGCTATGGGACTGAGGGGCCTGGGCCGGTGATGGCCTGACGTTCACTCTGCAGGTGTTTTCGATCCCTGGGGGAATAGAGTTCAGTAATGAATTTATTGCTTATTTTCCCTCTCTGTGGCTCAGGTTCTGGGCTCCTTGAGTAGAGGAGTTTAAGATAAAACAGGATTCTCTCCTCTGGGGGCTGGGTGAGCTCCTCAGGCCCTGGGATGGTTTGCTGCCCTGAAACAGAAGCCCCCAGACAGCTGTGGGGAAACCTGTTCCTCACACGAGTTGGAACATCCCTTTCATCTCAGTCCCCTCCATTCCTACTCTTGCACCAAACTGTTGAGATGTTGGCTATATTTAGCTCAGAATCTTTTAGTAACACATTTCCCCATGGTGGTGGCAGGTATCCAGCTGTGGTGGGCGAGGTCACCTTTGAGTGTGTCATCCTTTTTGAAGGTATAAGTGTCCCCACCAGGTGGCAGTGGAGTCACAGTTGGCATCGCCTCTGTACTCTCCTGAGGGGAGGTCCACAGGATAAGAGATTAAAAGATATAAAGATCCAAGCCACTGCTTTGTACACAGACATAATCTGTTTATTATAACAATGCAAACTGGATTATTTAGTAATACATGAAAAGTTGAGATAGTCTCCTCAGCAAACCACAAGTTTCTCTTGTCAGTGCTTCACTTTTTAAAAATTGAGGTATAATTGCCATATAAGATCGTATTAGTTTCAGGGGTACAAAATTATGATTCGATATTTATATATATATTGTGAAATGATCACTGCAAAAGTCTAGTTAACATCCATCACCACACGTAATTACAAATTTCTGTGTGTGTGTGTGTAATGAGTACTTTGAAGATCTACTCTCTTTAACAACTTTCAAATATACAATGCAGTGTAACCAACTATAGTCACCATGTTTTATAAGTTACATCCCCAGGACTTAATTATTTTGTAGCTGGAAGTTTGTATCTTTTGAGCACTTCTTTTTTTTTTTTTTTGAGAGGGCATCTCTCATATTTATTGATCAAATGGTTGTTAACAATAAAATTCTGTATAGGGGACTCAATGCACAATCATTAATCAACCCCAAGCCTAATTCTCAACAGTCTCCAATCTTCTGAAGCATAACGAACAAGTTCTTACATGGCGAACAAGTTCTTACATAGTGAATAAGTTCTTACATGGTGAACAGTGCAAGGGCAGTCATATCACAGAAACTTTCAGTTTTGATCACACGTCATGAACTATGAACAATCAAGTCAGATATGATTATCCATTTGATTTTTATACTTGATTTATATGTGAATCCCACATTTCTCCCATATTTTTTTTTTAATAAAATGCTGAAGTGGTAGGTAGATGCAAGATAAAGGTAGAAAACATAATTTAGTGCTGTAAGAGGGCAAATGTAGATGATCAGGTCTGTGCCTATAGACTAAGTATTAATCCAAGCTAGACAAGGGCAACAAAACATCCACGGATGCAGAAGATTTCTCTCAAAACCGTGGGAGGGGAGGTGAGGTTCTAAGCCTCACCTCTGTTGATCCCCAATTTCTCACCTGATGGCTCCCCTGCAACTGTGCCTATCTTAGGTTTTCCTCCCTTGAGGAATCTTACCCATTTGAGCACTTCTCTTTTAAACAGTATGTTTATACTTCATACTTTATCTGGAGTCAAAAAATTGTAGTTTACCCTCAGCTAGCAAAAGAATCCTTTTGAAATGTCCAGAATTAATCTGTTATTCTAGCTGCCCATTTCCCCCGTCAAATATAGAAAAATCATGCTTCTCCCTGCTAGAACTTTTTCCCTGAGTTCAAAAGACCAATTCCCTTACATTTCAGACAGCTGCAAATGCCCAGTTTTGATTTCCCCAGTCTGCCCCTTTCTTTCTTCTCTCTGAGGGTGGAATCAAATGTCCCTTCTCCTTTTTTCTGTTTCTTCCTTTATGCATCATACCAAAGAATGTATGGCACTTCAACTTCAGAGATGGATTAAGAGAAGAAAACTTGAAGGGAGAGATTGTAATCTAAGTTGAACAAGAGCTTAATTTCTTTTCTTACTCCGGTTACACCAATGTCTGTCTGTCTGTCTGTCTCTCTCTCTCCTCTTCTCGGTGTGTAAGATATTTGAAGGCTTCACCCCAGTGACATTTTGTGTTTTTGTGAGTAAATGTTGTTCTGATGGTGAGAATGGTAAACTGCATATCCAGTGTGCTGTGCCCCAGGGAATCAACTCTGCACCTCTGAGTCATCCTTCATTTGGTTCAAGCAGGAAAAGCCTCAATAAATACTAAAGTGTAGCAAGCTGTTAAGCCCCCAGTAACTGTGCTCATAGTCTGTTTGCCTCTTGATCTAAGTGTTTTCTTTTAAGGAGGGGAAAAAAGGAGTTTTTAAGGACTAATTATAAGTCTCCTTGTTTTTATACAGAAAACTTCTCCTGCAAAGATCTGTAGGTAAGTTTTTTCTTTTTAAACCACAAACCAGTAAATAGAGATTTAACCTGATTTTGAACTTTGATGATAACTGTTAAGATTCATATTTGAGAGCTGACAGAGGAATTTGTTTTAAATACTTATATATCCCTATTTTGTGTCTCATTCTAAAATTTATTCTTTCCCTTTTTCTGAAATATTTTACTGCTAAGGGGAAAACAACCTGCAGTAGATTTCAGCCACTGGTGCCCGGGCCTTCACTAGGAATTGTGCAATACTGGTGGAGAATGAAAATGGAAAACATGGAAATGACCTAACATTTTAAAAGTAATGTTTGCAGTTTATTGGGTTCTTAAGATTTCCCATGTTGGGAAAAGCACTGGCCTTTGAGTCTGGGAATCTGAGTGTGGTCGTGGTCCACAGCAAAGTGTGTATGGGCAGGTTTCATAACCCTCCATGCCTCAGTTTCCTCAGCTGAAACCTGAACTGGACTGGACTCTCAGTAAGGTCCCTGTCCCCTTTCCCCACCACTGCCATGTGCGAATTTGGGTCTGCATGCCTGGTTCTCTGACTGCTTCCTGCCTCTTCTGCAGCAGCTGTGAAGCTCAGTCCTGCAGATGCAAAACTAACAGAGATGCTTTGAAATGTGGATTTAGGACTTTTTGTTTCAACTATGTCTGGGCTCCATCCAGTCTCTTTCTTTGCCTTTATTATAGACTGCTACTTGGAAAAGACAAACACAAAAACAACAACATCAGGATTCATCCTCTTGTTTTAAAGATCAGCAGGTGTTAAAGAGAGGCATCACAACCCACTAATGCCTGATAAGTCAAGTAGCACCCAAGGCCAAGTGTGGTGGGAAGCCAGGTCTCACAGCTGGCTGTTCCCCATCTCTCCATAGCCCCAAGGGGTGGCCTGTTTGGGGAGTCTCTACCACTCATGGCCTGTGGATGGGGAAGCATCCTACGTCCTATAATGTCTTCCATTGTAGGCAGACACCAAACCTATTTGAATTCTCCTCTGCTCACACCTAAAACCTGCCTGTTCCTATGCAGCCCCAGAAACCCTTCCTGACAACCTCCCTGTGTCTGAGTCACTGGGCAGTCTGGTGTTTTGGAGTCTTCTGGTGGCCATTTATATGTGTGCCTTGAAAGCTGGGGAGGCTAAAGGCATCGGGCGGGTTGGACTGGAGAAGCTTCTGGTGCCTCAAGATGTCCCATATCATCCTGACCTGCCCGAGGCCATGAGAACATAGTACAATGAGCTCCCATCTACCTCTCACCTAGGTTCACCCACTGGTAATTGTTTTTTCCATTGGCTTTCTCTTTCCATATGTATACCTATACATATATTATCACATATAATATGTAAGGATATATATAATTGTTCTTACTCTTTTTTTTTTCTGAACCATTGGAGAATAAGTGCAGAGATCATAAAACCTAAATACTTTAAAGTTTAAATCTGAAAAATAACAATCTCTTGTATAAACCACAGTGCAATTATTAAATTTACAAAATCAACATCTTACTCAATACTATTATTGTCTTAATATTGACTCTGTGTTCAAATTTGGCCAGTTACCCCAATATTGTCTTTTATAGTAATCTTTTCCCCACAGATGTCATGTCTTCTCCATACCCTCCAGTGCTCTCTGTGGTATTATGTTTTCCGGAGGTGGCATAATTGTAGTCCGATTGCCCAACATCCCACTGGTATACTTTTTGGGTATCTGTACTTTTAAAAATCTCTTTTTATTGTACATTTCACAGACAGTGTTTTTCTCAAGTGAGCCAGCTGTGGTTCTGCAGATGTCCTGCAAATGCCTGTCTGTGCGAAAATGGCTAGCCGAGCAGCGGGGAAGGGACTGTCTGGTTACCAGCGGAGCACATAATTGGAAACCACATAGGTGGAAGGGTTCTCAGAGGATGATGGGGATCTGGGCTCGGTCTCACAGGAGCTTTGCCTTATCTACGCTCCAGCTAAAGCTTCCACGCTCTCTGGGAAGCCCTTTGATGTTGAAAAGTGAAGCTGTATGTTCTGTCTCCCTCTCCACAGCGCCCTTTTGCTCCTGGCCGCGGCAGGATGCCTTCCCTTTAACGACCCCCAGGTACGTACAGGTAACTCATTTGCCTTCCAAGGACTTTTTACTCTCCAAAGCCTGCATGTCTGAGCAGAATTGCCTAGTCCTTCCTTTAGTATCAGAGTAACCTGAGCATTTACAGGCTTTCAGCTGGGTACCTTTGGGCTGGGCCAACGCCCTCCTTCGGGCCTCTGCCTTCTCCCAGGGCTGCGGCGGGGTGGTGGAGCTCTGCCTCTGGGTGCCATGTGGGTGCTTGGAGAACCTGCAAGCCAGCGCCCAAGAGGCCGCAGCCTTACACATTGAGGCGAAGAGGCTTTTTCCCTCTCATACCTGATCTACAGAGGAGCTTTTGCTTCACTCGACTGAGTTGTTCTTGATTAGGCTCCAAGGACCCACCCCCACCCCCAGCAGTCCTCTTACTACTGGATCTGCTCTCTTTTCTCCCGCAGCAATTATTCAGTCCCCATCAAGTGTCAGGCACTGAGCCAGTCTCTGGGAGCACAAAGAATTGCCCTCATCCGGGCATAAGTCAGAGTCTAGTCAGGGGAGGAGACAGACGATAAGCAGATAATGAGAACACAGGGGGGCCAGGACTCTGCCCAGGGAGAAGGGGATGCTGGGAGGCAGCTCCGAAGACTGGGGGACTTGGGAAGTAGGACTAGCTAATGATTGCTGGGAGCCTGCTGTGTGCCAGGCTCTGTGCCAGGGCTTGTGTGCTGACTTTATTTCAAATCTCACAAGAGTCCCACAAGGGAAGGGACTATTATTATCTCCATTTCATGGCTAAAGAATAATGAGGCTGAAAAGGTCACCAGCTAATGAGTAAGTGGGGATTTTAGAATTTAACCCAGCTCTTCCTGATGCTGGAGCCAGACTTTGCTTACTGGACCTACATCTTGAAGGCTGAAGAGCTGGCCAGAAGGAAACAGGTGTGGGCAAAGTCTCGCAGGCATCCTGATTACTCTGCAATTTAACTTTATTGAATACCTACCACGTGTGTTCCTGTGCAGATTCCTGCCCTTCTAGAATTTTGAGCTGGTAGGGAAGCATGCATGTTTGCAGGAAGTAAATTCTCTTTCTCTGGAAAGGGGGCAGCTGATGGGACTGGAGGGGTGGGCAAGGGCTTGTCATAGAAATCCTGGGGTGTCATGAGTTTGCATTTTATCCTGGCATCACTAGGGAACTGTTGAATGGTTCTAAGCAGTAGGTGACATGCTTGGATTAGCCTTTTAGAGATGCAACTTGGTGGCAGTGTGGAGAATGGGCAGGGGTGCTGGAGGCAGGGAGCCCTGTTAGGAAAATGTCAGAGGCAACTGGGTGAGCACTGAGGAGGGCCTGGCCCAAGGTCTCAGGAGCCCTGTCTGGGCATCATTGCCTGGAACTGTGCACTGACATTTAGGGTTTCTGTTCGCCACTCTGAATCCTGCTTGTCTGTACTTACTGCCATTTTTTAAAATCCTGTGTTGCAGTTTGATCCAGATGGATATTTCTGGGCTGTAATTCATGTATTCTGTGTGGGTAAGTTTTAAAAGAATGCTTACTTAAGTATTTGAGCTTATTGTTTAGACCTAATTGTATACCCAAAAACTTTTTAGTGACCCTGAACAGCAGGAAGATTAAATACAAGGTGTCAAGGTAAAAATTAAATGGGTGTTTTCTGGCTTGATTTTCCTGTTTTGGGGTTTTCCTCAAATGTTTCCATCTCCAGGATAGTCTCCTCTTTTTCCTGACGAACATTCCCTAACTCAGCGTGGCCGAGGTCCTGCTTTGCTTGGGTCCACTTTTGGGATGCTGATTGGTCTTCCTAAAAATGGTGGGAAGAGACCCAGAAGTTTGTGCCAAAAGCACTCTCTTTCAGCAGTTTAGCCCCCAAAATGTAAGTGGGCAAAATAAAAGCACCATTGGACTTTATTTCAAATTGTATATTCAGTGTTTCCGGTCTGTAGTCTGACAGAGGGAAGACCGTGCCCTGCCTTTGTTGCACGCAGTTCAGAAATCCAGTGGTCTTGCTCTTTCTCCTGCACACCATGCAAAGGAAACCAGAAGTTTCCTGTGAATTCTATCCATCTGTTGATCACAGCCTCTGGGCCGAGCACTCCTTGAAACCCTCTGGAGTGGTGGTGGTCTCCCCCAGTTGGCTGTGGATGACTCTCATAGGGAAGAGGGACCCTTCTCCATGTGTGTTTTGCATAGGATGCCCTGTACCAGTAACACATACTGCTTCATTTTCAGGGGCTTATAAAATACTACAGAAGTCTCAGAAGCCTAATGCGTTAAGGTAAACTTTGAAAGTTTGGTGAGTTGCTGTTTGGTTAAAGGCAAGAGGTGAAAATCATGGTATCGTTTGGCCCTAGACTGCACTTCTGGGTTGTAGTGAGGGCAGCAGCCTGGGCCTCCGGGGCCATTTCTCTTGCTCTCGGGCCATTCCAGGCCAGGCCTCCTCCTACCTGAATCATATCAGCTGTCAGCAATGTGCAAAGATCAGGGAAGACTATTTCTCCTTCAGAGACAGCCATTCAGATGACATTTTTACAAAAATTACGTGACCATATGCTCTGGGCCCCGGTTTACTTCCTCCAGCTCAGAGGCCAACTCTTTTTTCTTCTTCCCCCAGTGCCTTGCTCACTTGACTTGGTTTAGACCCAGAAGTCAGTCACTACTAGCTCTGTTGTGGGGTAAAATGAGGCCATTGTTGTGGGCATTCAATGGACTGGCCTTGGCAAATGTAAATGAAAAAGAGGAGAATTCAGAGCTCAGTTGGGCTGGAACCATGAGGTCAGAGCCTCTAGACTGGCCGGCTGGCCTCTAGGTTTTGGAGCCCGCCTGAGGCCTGAAGAGGAAAGGTCTGAAGGGAAGGATTCCTCAGAGGTTAACAATCTGAGGGTGTGACTCAGTCTCTAGAGCACCTTTTGTTCTTTTAATAAAGTCTTTATGCAGCAAGGAGCCAGTACAGTTGCCTGGAAAAATACAGGATGCTCAGTTAAGTTTGGATTTCAGGTAAGTAGTGAGTAATTTTTTTTTTTGTAAAAGTATGTCCCGTGCAATATTTGGAACATACTTATACTAAAACATTATTCTTTATTTGAAATTCAGATTTATTTGGGTGTCCTGTACATTGACTTGTCGAATATGGCAGCCCTACAAACCAGTCCAGTGGCCTGAGAGAACTGACATTCCTTCTAAATGGCAGATGTACACATAGGAAATAACTCACCTCAAGTGGAAAAATGTGAGATAGGAGGACATATTCTTAAAAATGAGCTAGGAACTAGTTTTGAATATAAAATTCTCTTCACACTATTTGTTGATAATTTATAAATGCAATAACTTACACATAGATTTATTAATAGATGATAATGGCTATTTTGTGTATGTAAAATACTTCTATTATTTCAGGTTTTTCTTTCTTTTTTTTCCTAATTTCTTAGCGACATTGACCAGCAGTACTTAAACTATATATTCAGGTAAAGTATTATTTACATTTTCAAAGAACAAGTCATATCTTTCTAAAGCTAATGGGTTTTTATTTTCCCAACAATATTTTGATCAGGGAGTGCCGAGCCAGTGTGCCTGCCAGGAAGGCAAGCTAAATAATTCGTGAGATGATCGGAAGTTGAGGAAACCAAATAGTAGTGCTGCCCTTAGGCCAGATAAGAGGGGCCTTGTCCAGCCCGAAGCCTCAGAGGGCCGTGCCTGTCCCCTATAGAATGTGGGGTCTGCAAGGCTAAGGGGACGTTTCTTTCCAGAGCACACCCCCTCTCTTCTAGCAGGGCCCCTGGAATTCCCTACTCAAATGGTCCTCAGCTGGATTCCGAGGCCTCCCTGGGCCTGTTTTTCCAACTGATTCCTAGACCCAAGCAGTGATACAAAAAAGGCTGTTAGTAGGGGGCATGTGGATGAAGGAAGGCCTTGCACACTGAGGTGTCCACACACAACTATATGAAGCCCCAGTGTGCAGGATGGAAGAAGGGATAGAAAGAGAAGGGGCACATTGGGAGCTGGGAGCCTGAGGCTGGATCTCTCCAAGCCACCATTCTGACATGAAGCTCCAAGGACTCCATAAATTCTAGACTTTAATCTGGACTTACAGGTTGTTTTGAAGGTATGTTTATTAAAGCAGGGTGAAGTTTGAGACTTGATTTATAACATTCAAATATGGTATATGGACTTCCATTTGTACCCTTGCCCTAAACTAACCAAGGAATAAGGTTCTGTCTACTAAAGAGAAAAGCTGGGGAGCATTCGGACTGTGCACTGCAGGACCTAACTGAGAAGCAGCGTGACGCATGCTGTCAGGAGCCCATTTCCCGAATGTGGCAACATTCAGTCCGGAGGACCAAGGTCGGAGCTGTGCCTCTCAGCATTTGGTCATGCTGATTTCTGCAGGAAGTTACTTGGCTTAAAATGTTCAATATGAGCTGCATTCTCCATTGGCAGATAAAGCTCATAAATATCTTAGTATTTATTAAAATGGCTTTTTGAAAGGATTCACTCCCAGCATGGCTGTGAGCCTCTTTTGTACTCAGCTGAAAATCACTGGTTCCACACTGCCCAGGCCTACCAGCTGCCTTTTTGAGACTTTTCTGAAAACGCAGAAGGCTCTTGGTGTTCAAAATGTTTCTGTGGCTTTGGACTACTTCAGGCAGTTGTTTACCTCCACAAAACATGTTGCCCACTTGAGTAATTAAGGAATAAGGGAGTGGAAAAATGAGCCTCTGTGATCCCCAGCAGGTTCTCCTGCCCACCTGGCTCTTTCCCCTGTGGGAGGCCATCCCTGCAGGGAAGCCTGGTGCTCGGGGCTTCCTGGCTGGGCCTCCCACACACCCCACTGAAGCCACAGTTCTATTTCTGAGGTTCTTTGGTACAAGTGATGGTGATGTGTGAATCAGAATGAGGGCCAGTATTTGATTTCCCCTGGGCTCTGGACACCGAGGGCATCAGCACCTGGAGATGCACAGTGCCAGCCGGAGCTCCGCCTGCCGGGGCCAAAAAGTACTTGCATCTTCCCCTTATTTGCGAAAGGCCAGCAGGTGAATGGTTCTCTACTTGGTACATACTCCTATTTTCTTGAGGATATACTTGCTCCCTGACTCTGACTTTTAGGTGTTTCTCTTATAAATAAGAGGTCTAAGGTCTAAGGCCCACGGTAGATGAGAAAGGGTGAAGAAGAAATAAGGAGGAGGATGTTTTTAGGGCTGAAAATGAATAGGATGTCTAAAATTGGTAATTTAGAGTTTGCTTTGACCAGCATTTTGAGAAATTTAGGTAATTTGTAAGGAATAAATATGGGATATATGCCTAGCACCATTTCTTTTTAATAGGAGTAGACACTAGTCTCTCCTTATCTCTTAAATAGAAAGTTACCGTGATGTTCCCTGTTCATACTCCACCTCCTTATCTGACAGATGAAATTGTGTGTGAGAGAGACAGAGACAGAGAGAGAAAGGGAATATTCTCTCTGGGGTATGACTTTGTGAAACAGAAAAATGTACTGGAGTTTAGCCTATGGAGATTCTATTTTTTATCATATGTCCCCATTTTATTTCCGAGAATGTTTTCTGTTTTGTTCACTGCTTTATCCCCAAACTGGAACAGTACCTAGAACTTACTAGGCACTCAATAAATATTTGATGAATGAGTTTTAGAAGTCTGCAGTTTATCTGGCATGAGATGCTTTTTATAATAGTGTGATTTCTTCATTAGAGTTTACATGTAATATATAATCTTAGAAGTCCAGGGGGCTTCAGGTTGCATTTCTCTTCAAGCATATTCTGCCAGAAATATGTCTACAGGTGATTAATTGCAATGCAGAAAACGTATGGAGCACCTGCTATCTCTCTGGCCTTGCTATAGGCACTTGAGATCCAAAGATAAATAAAATATGGCTCTTGTCCACCAGGAGGTCACAGTGTAGGAATTAGTGGTGTGACACTATAGTTGCAAAATTCAAATAGGAATTAGAAACCAACTCTTTTGTTTAATTATTTCTTCTTATATTTACTCTGTAATATTTTATTTTAGGGTCTCCCTTCCCAGGTGATTCCAATGATGGAATTTTTGAGTACCTTAGCAAGGCCTGAGAGATATTTTGGGATGGAAGAACGCTCTTCATATCCTGCCATAGGAGCAGTAACTTCTGCTGCTGAAGTTCAAACAAAAGGGGGCCCAGGGAGCTAAAATAATGCAGTACTTACAGGATATGTTTTCCATAGAAAGGAGAGATGGGAAGCAAAGGACAGAAGGTCTCTGGTCTCACGTATATTTTTACAGCTACATGTCAACCCTGTCTTACTAATCTACAATTTCTGAACAACTGTTCACATGGCTATTCTCCATTACCTTTCTCCTGACCCTCCTCTCCTCCAGCCTCTTCCCATGATGCTCCTCTGAACCATCAGGGAACCTGCACTTTAAAGGTAGAGCAAAGGAAGAGCTTAAGGAAAACAAATGGTATAGGGAGATAACCCAGGAGCAGGGCAGGGCAGCGCTGACCAGCTAAGTGGCTTCCCCATTCAAAGCTGTCTTCTGCTACATTGCCCATAATGTCAGCAATTAGAGATTTGTCGCCTTGGGTCCCAATCCTAGTGCACTTTAGAGCCACCAGGGGCCCTAACAAAGTAAAACAACGGATGCCTGGGCTATAGGCTCAGAGATTCTAGCCAGGATTTTGGGCTATTCTCATGTGCAACCAGAGTTGAGAACCAGAGTACACCCAACACTTAAAAAAAAATTCCCTCCCATAGTTGGGTAAAAAGTTTTACTCCTAACCTCTAACTAGACGAGCTGCCTGGTTGGCTTGGAGATGTGAAGGGTGTGAATGTGGGCTTAGGACAGCCTGAAGATACTATAGATGGACCCTGGGAGCTGGGAGAAGCTTCCAGAGAGGAAGATGGGAGAAGGCCAAGGATGAATATGGCCTGAATCAGAGGAATACTTCTTTCTCCTTTTCGGCATCAATTGCAGATCAGTCCAGGTAGTTTCCAGGCATATGATGGATGGGACGGCTCATTTTGTGGGTTAGCTTCCTGGACATTTAACTTACCTTCTCTGCAGTTAATTTCATGGCACAAATAGATGCAGCTCACAGTCAACAGCTAGCTTTTAGTGTGCAGCTTATTGGTAATTGAGAGTTGCTTTGTCTAGCATACAAATACTCTTTGTAGATGTGGTGAGCATGAGAATTCTTAGCAGCATAGCTGACCTCAGAGGATGGGCACGGATCCTTGGTCCCTCACAGGGTAAATCAACCCATCTGCCAAAGCCTGAAGCAATTCCAGAAATTCTCTCTCACTGAGGAGTTGGATTTAGGCAGAATGGGACCATTTATTGCAGATAATTTGCTTTCAGGCAGATTTCACCATTTCAGAGCAGAATGGGTAGAAATATCTGCTGTTTTCTGAGTGCTGGGGAAGCTTTCTTCACTACTCTGCTCTGCTGTTTCTTTTTCAGTGTGGTGCTCCTGGCGTTTGCATCTCACCCCACAGGTAAAGGTCATTTTGTTTATGTTGCCCCTTCAGCCTGGTGCTCTGGCCCAGGTTATGTCTCAGAGACATTTTGTAAGAGATGTGGTTGCCTTCCAGAATGCCAAACTCTTCAGGAATGGCCCAGTTATTTGAAACTGTTCTTAATAATCCATTATGGATTTTTTTGCCTGGGAACTTATTCTTATCTCTTCTTGACTTTTGTTGTCCACATTTTCATCTGGTGTACGCTTGGATATGCAGGCAAGTTTATGATCTGCCTAATAAACTAGAACTTGCTTTGTCCTCTTCTAAACTTCCTTCTTCATGCATCCAGAGCTGCTCTCCAATTCTGTTGCTAAGGGGTTTGATGAGAAAGTTCAAATTTTCTCTATTCCTAACATCCTTTTCAAGATTGTATCATATGTTATCATATAATATCCATAATTGCAGATTAAAGATGTCAGGTTTTAAAAACTTACCTTTACTCTTGCTGCCTCAGTTACTCTGTAGTTGTGTCTCAGATTCAGGAATTGCCCACTATACTCTATTCCATTGTTGTTTTTTACTTTGAAAGGTTTTGAAGTTGATGCCAAAGATAAAGAAATAATATCTGTGTGTGCTGTGTCTGAATATACATGTTTTATTTGTCATGCTCCTTTAGTGTCATTGACCAGTTCTGCATAAAGCATTTCCCCAAGCCCCCAAGAGCTCAGTATTCTTGCCTATAAAATGAGAAAAGTCACCAAGTGGTCAGCAGCTTAACATTGTAGATCAGCCTGGCCAGAAGAGTAATTTAAAATAAGCTTCAGTTTCTTTTTGAGGCGATGAAAATGTTCTAGAATTGGGTAGTGGTGGTGATTGTACAACTCTGCCAGAACCCTAAAAAGAATGTATGTCTTACAAGGGTGAATTTTAAAGTGTGTGAATTATATCTCAATTAAAAATGGATAGGGGATAAAAAAAGAAATCTCTGTTATTTGAGAACCTGTTTGGAGATCAGTTATGCCAGGAAAGGCTACTTGCAAGGATTAATTTTCCTCTAAATTACATTTTTAAGTTCGAAAAAAAAGAAGGGACTTCAGATGCTCGGCTCCTATGCCTTCATTGGCATCTCACGGTAAATGCCTGAGGACAGGCCTGTGGGGGGAAGTTCAGAGAGCTGTGAAGGCTGTGGGGTTCATCAGAGGGGGAGCCTTGGTACACATCCCTGGCAGGATTCCTGGCTGCGACTTCGGTTTGTTACAGCTTTCAGGTAGCCGAGGTGGTATCTTTGAAGAGGCTGGGTATGGAAAGCTGGGCTTCTGAGAAGGGCTTTGCCAGCCTGATGAGACTGGCTTTGAATGTGACATGAGAGATGGTGGTAGCTCAGAATCTAGAAGAGCTCTGGGGAGTCAGTCTTTGCCAGCTTTATAAACCCAGGTTGATTGCCCTAAACTCTTTGGTGGGTCCTGGTGGTGTTTTCTCATAGTAGTATATGGTTGATTACAAAGTTTAAGCAAATAAAACACCTAAGGAGACTATCCTTCCTACAGAAATGTCCAAGTGTTCTGATTGGGTGGTTTTAGTTCCTCCCAGTTGGCTAGCTTCTTCATTGGATGCAAGGGTAGTCTAGCCTTTTTTTAAGATGAAACAACCCTTTATTCTTTTCACTCTTTCTTATTACACTTTCCACCTAGAATGTCCACCGCAGGGCATGAGCGTGGGTCAGGGAGAGCATCTTCCTGTTCCCCACAATTGCACCAGTTAAGACACAGTGAGAGTCATGGCCACAGGTGTAGTGTTTTATGAAGGATCTGTTTGTAATTACTGACATTTTAAAGCAGGGCTTTATTCTTTTTGGTTTCTTCTCACCTCTTCATTTTTTACTTTTAATTATTTGGTAGTACTTCTAAAACATTTAAAAATTGAGATACAACTTCTATATATCAAATGCACATTATCTTAAGGTCACGGCTTGGTCAGTTTTGACAAATGCATACTCCTGTGATACTCACACCTTTATCAAGATATAGGGCATTTCTCTCGCTAGAGAAAGTTTCCTCATGCCCCTTCTCTGTCACTCCTTCCTCACCTACCACCAAAAGCCACCACTGATCTGATTTCTGTTACCATCAGTATGTTCTGTTTATTCTGGGGACTCATAAATCTAAACACACAGGAAGTGTTCTTCTGTTTCTGGTTCTTTCATTCAGCGAAGAGTTCAGAAAGTCATCCATGTTGTGTGTACCCCTGGTCAACCCCCTTTTATTGCTGAGTAGTGTGCCGCTGTATGAACTTACCACCTTTTGTTTATCTCTTCACCTGTTGATACTCACCTGGGCTGTTTCCAGATTTTGGCTCTTGTGAGTAAAGCTGCATGAACATTCCTCTACAAGACTTGTTGTGGACTTGTGTTTTCATATCTCTTGGAGAAATACCAGGAGTAGAATTTCTGGTTTATAGAGGAGATGTATGTTTAACTCTTTACAAAAGTGTCTGTTTTCTAAAGTACTATTTTGTGCCCCACCCAGCAGTGTATGAGAGTTCCAGGTGCTCCACACCTTCACTGACATTTGTTGTTGTTAGTCTGTGTTAGCCATTCTAGCAGGTGGATACAGATCTCTCAACAGTGGTTTTGACAGAACCAGAACTGCCCTTCTTGCTTGCTCCCGAGTGACTAGAAGAATACGCATCCTTGTCGTTGCAGATGACATGGCTTGGGTTGCAGCCTGTGGGGCACCTTGGGACAGAGTGGCAGAGGTCAGGTAGAGAGCTCCCCGTGTTGTGGGCACAGCCCCTGCCACCTTCCCTCTCTGGGAACTGGTTTTGCTTCTTGGTGGGTAGAAACTACCTCCCCTTCTGATCTTCCACCTTCAGGATTCATGCAGAGACTAAGAATCTTGGGACTTACTTCCACTTGGACTGTTTTAAGCAGCAGTAGAGAAACTCTTCCCATGTGTGAAAGTTTTCATTTCATATTTGCATGAGGCCCCTCTGCTGTGGTGTTTAAGAGAGCATTTCAGGAAACAAGAAGAGCAGGGAGACCCAGAGGAACCTGACTGAGAAGTGACCCTGTTACCTGGTATGCCTGTTGCTGGTGGGTGAGATAAAGGAAGCACACCAATCGCTTCTCGGCACTGACCCACCTGCTATCTTCCTGCCATCTCTCAGGGCTGAAATGTGGTGAGAGGCGATGTTCTTGATGTGCAAATATCAATTAGTCGTGAATGTGGCAATGTAAGATTGTGCTGCACTTTTCACCGTGGCCATCTCATGCTCTCTAACCTTCCGATAAATGGGGCCCCTGCCTCACTTGGAGTCAGCAGAATTTGAGCTGTGAAGCACAAAAGTGGAGGCTCAACTCAGACTTTATTTCACAAGCTGCATGTTGATGCCACAAAACATGTTTACAACTCCTGAACCATTTCATGTGTGCTTAAATTGTGCATTCTCACCAGGTGGTTCAGAAGCATTGTCTTTTGAGCATCTTTACACATTTTTTAGGCACCGAGATTTAGTTCTCCTATGGTTGAGCCAGCCAGCCACACATGGCAACATCTTTAGGGCTGTTTGTAGCACAGTTGTTAACCTTTGCTGTTTAGAGGTTGGTGTGGACCCTCTCGGTTTAAAAACTCTACTTTAGTAAAAGAAGAGGCAGACTGAAAGCAGCAGAGGGTAAGCATTTGGGGTCACTTTGAATTAAGGACCAGCATAGCCAACTGGGAAGTGTTGGGGACATTCTCCCCAGGGAAAGCAAGAGGAGTTTGGGTCCCTCAGATACTCTCGGTCCAGTAGTGCTCATTGTATGTCAAGGATGGCCTGACACAGAGGATATAAGTGGTGAGTGAGCTAGAGCCCCTGCTCTGAAGGATTCGAGAGTTCTAAAGGAGAAACAGGCATGACATCAACTAAGTGCTGTGTGAGACGTTTAGAGATTTTAGAAATGGCTTAAAGATAACAGTGAGCTGTTCTCGCTCAATAATTTATAGCATCAGTTTTCAGGATTTGGGTGAAAGTTATTATCTAACTGGCAAATTCCCTAGGACTGTGATTTTTTTTCTGTCTCTTCCTCCCTTCCACCTCTGACACTCTACTGCTCTTTAGACCCATCCACAGCCTGCACTGGGCTGTAAAGGTTGCCAGTGCACCGTAAGTCCAGTCTACCTCCCTGGATCTGTCTCTGATGGGAGACTGGGTTCTGAGCAGAGGCAGTGCCCGAGGAATCTTGAGGTCCTGAGTTTAATTGGTCTCCTCTCTGCCGTTCTCATCATCACACTGACTGCCCTGCAGTGCTCTCCCACTGAGAGGGAAATTGGGAAAAAGCCAAGATCCAACAGCTGCCGAAGAGACAGAGCAAATCCTCTATGGGCGTTCCTTCACCCGCCGGAACAGGGGACTCTGGCCACCCTCTAGGACTAGGGAGCCCAGGGCTGCCTCAGCTGTCACTTCTGTGGGGGAAGGGACTTCAGAATAAATGGTGCTCTTCATGCCCCAGAAGTCTGCGCCTCATGGTGTTGTTTACAAAGCCCCTCCACCAATATAGGTCTTTAGTAGACAACAGAGGTATTCAGTGGAGTGGAAGCAGAGAGCGCAAGAATTAACCTCTTACTAGGCTGCGTGAAAACCAGATCCCAGGAGAACCTCGTCTTTTAGTTAAACACTCACATATGCACAAACAAAACAAAACAATAGTCACACTAAAAAAATAGCCCTCTAGGGAAGGAATTCAGATGGTTGAATATTTGAAATCATCGAGGTCCCTGAAGAGGGATAGTAGCCCATTGCATCTTTTGTTCTGACACCCTTGTTAAGTATAGTGAAAAGGAAAGCTAGCCTGTATATTCCACCACCCTCCTGCCATGCCGTGACTAGTCAGGATGACCAGCCCTTGTGCCAGTCCATCCAGAACTGCAAAACCAAGGCCAGGGGTCTGGACCAGGCTCAGAAATTCCAGATTTGGAAGAATTAGGCTATCTGCTGTGGAAATGCTGAATTCCTTTTCTCTGGACGTTTTTGGAAGGCCTTCTGCTTTTTTAATCTCCTGACTTATTGTTTGTGACTAAGTTCAAATTCCAGAGAGGGAAGCAGCCAGTATGTGTGATTATTTCCTCTTGCACCAAGTGGAACTAAAAGAATGAACTTACTTCACTAGAAATAAATGTACCCTTTGGACCTTAAGCCAAAATGAGTATGCACAGTCAGTCTGGCCCCTATGCCATTTGTGCAGTAATTAAACACAAAAATGAAAAAAAGAGGTCCGTGGCATGCATTCACAATCTTTATTTTAGATATAAGGCAGAAAAGAAGAGAAGAATCTTTGAAAAGATCCTTTTTGTCCTAACTCAGCCATAGGCAGGGATGACTGCCTGGTGAAGAGGAAAGATCCTAGGATTTGGAGTGATTGGGGTGCATATTCTGGCCCCCCAGCTCAAGGGTAATGTAATCTTAGACAAATGGCTAAACTTCTTCAAGCTCCAGTTAAGACGGGGGTAATAAAACCTCAGAGAGTTGTTAACAAGGATTGAAAGAAGTAATGTGCAGAAAGCTTTTAAGCATAGGGCCCTGCACAGGGCAGATTCTCACTCAATGGGCTTTATTATTATCAGACTGTTACTGTAGGCCAATGCCAATAACAGAAACTCAAGGAGTGCCAGAGGGAATTCAGTGCTGGGCAGCTCAGTGCTGCTGTGCTAACAACCCTGCCTTGTGTTTACAAGCCAGCTGGGGCAGGGGATGTGCAGGCCATGGTTTCACCCTTGCTCTGCCCCACAGGTGATCTCCTCAGCGTTCTGGACTTCCCGTTCCTGTATTTCTACAGATTCCATGGCAGCTGCTGTGCCAGGTAATCTTAACTCACAGACTGTCCTACTATTAATTTGTATGTTTCTGTACCACCAGCTGTGGCTTCCTGAAGTCCAGGGTCACAGCCAGGTATCCAGATGAGCGGCCAGAGGGAGGAGGTGGCAGGTGCGGGTGTGGCAGCAGCCCCTGGCCATCAGTGGGTTGTTAGGAACATCCCCAGGCTCCGGGAGCTGCCTGGGCCGGAAGACCCCTGTCCTCACCAGGGCAGTGGTTTTCAAACTTGCAGGAGAGCTAGGATTCCCCCACTTTTTTTTCTCTACAACCAAGTCTTCTCTAGAACTTCAATATGTAAAATGATGAAACAGATTCAGTTCAAGGGCAGACTTGGGCCTAGAATTTCACCCTCTCCACTTCCACTTTGGTTTCTCTCTTGTTCCTGAAGTGCAACCTCCAGAAATCCTTGACTGAACCCTCAGACTCTTAAGAAGCAGATTTTGGAGGCCAATGACTAGGAGATGTTTAGACAGCAAGATGGTCAGTAGTATTTGGCCATGGGACATATCCAGGGACGTAGACCAATTAGAAGAATGCATTTAGATACATAGAAGTTCATACCCACCCTAACCCCTCTTTCCTGCCACCATCCCCACTTTGCTTGACTTTATTACACTGAGAAATGGAAAGGCTTCTGTGGACAGTCTCAAAGCACGTATTCTGATGTGGTGCCAAGATTGTAGTTGGGTTGAATTCCAGCCTTGCTGCTTGCTAACTTGTGGTTTTGGGTCAAGGCATCTTAGTTGTATGTTACACAGGCCTTAGTGTGTATTAAATAAGATATGCAGAGCCTGAAGCATCTTGCCTGGCTCAGTAAATAATGGCCATTGTTATTATATGCTCAGGTTGATAGTCAATAGTCAACAAACCATGAGCAATTGCTACCCAAGTCAGACCACCTATTTCCACACATTAATATTGTACCTTGTGAAGTGATCCTTTACAGTAAGTCGAAAAGCTGGTACGTAGCTAGGTGATGTTTCTCATGGGTGTGTTAGGACAAAAAGAAATCAATATTATAGAGTTTATTTATGCATTTGATCCTCAGAGTGATTTATCTGTCAGCCTCTGAAAAGTGTCAGGAAAACACCGACAGAATTCATCTCAGTCCCTGTATAAATCAATATGTCAGAAACAAGCCTGACTCTGGTGCCCATGCGCTGGTTTCCCCTTGGATCTGGTTCACTGGCAGCACAGAGAAGCCAGGTGCCAAGAGGAGGCAGCCACTGTGTGTGGTCATGTGCAAGAGAGCAGCCCAGTTCACAGCCCTCTGGTGGGCTCAGGGGGTGACGCTCTAGCTCCATTGGTGCCCCTTTTCATCTGCAACTTTCTCATAACCCAACATGAAAAATCAGCTTTTCTGTTTTTGGTTTTTTACTTTTAAAGATTTAGAAATCTTAATTTGAATAGATTTAACTTTCTATTACCTTCTACCCCCTGGTTTCAGTACAAAGCTTAACTTCTTTTAAGAATGTGTCAGTTTCCCCCACATCATCTCTTTCATGACTGTATCTCAGGCTAAGAATTGTCACCTTCTGAGGTCCTGGGGGAGCTGAGAAAGGATCATGGAGGCCGGAGGGGACAGTGGTAGCCATGACCTGGACACCCCATTAGCAGGGGGCCCAGGCTTTTGCACTTGTGAGATCCTCCCATTCCTTTTAAGATCTGCCTCCATAACAAGGGATAGAAGAGCTGATATTAGAAGGAGAAAGAAGAGGAATCCATGAGTAATTTAGAAATGATTCACTGACATACAAGTCAAGTGAGGAGGGACTCGTGCATGTTCGGAGTGTGTCAGTCACACCAGGAATAGCTCTGTTCCAGAAGAGTCTGTGCAGAGGGAAAGGTGAACATGGAGGCATGCCCTTCTGGCTGCAGGCAGAGAGAAGAGGAAAAGACTGGAGGGAAAGGAGGCATGGGAGCTAACAGGACAGGCACCTCCTTGGATGCAGCAGGCGCAAGCCACCAAGAAGTACCCTGCAGCACGGGCTGCCTCACTTCCCACTCGGCCCTGGCCCCTGGAGCATCTCACTCGGGCTCCCTGGTCACAAGCACATTGCCATGGGGAAGTTTGAAGAGCTGGGGAGAACTGTTGAAAGAAACTGGAAACCTGGACACTGTTTGTGCTGGTGCCTCTGTTTCTTGTTAATAAACTGAGGTTTGATGGGGAGGGGGCAGCTTTCTGTTCTCAGAGTCTGATTCCCATCGGGTGGGGTAAGGACCTCTGCTCATTCTGGCTTTCAGAACACAGAAGAGGCAAAAGAAGAAGGGAGGAAAGGGGGTTGTGGTCAAAGTTGTGAGGGTCAGCAAGCACAGCCAAGAATAGAAACCCAGGCCCCTTGATTTTCAGCCTACTGCTCACCCACAGGGGCCCCCTTGCCTTTCGGGTGTGAGTGACTCAACGACTTACCCCACAGCTGCCCAGCCTCCATGACTGCCGGTGTTAACCCGAGTGAGCTCTGCAGGTTGCCTGGGCCAAAGAGGCTGAACTGTAACAAGGGGGACCTAATCCCTACCTCGTCCTGTCCCTGGATAGTGGCTGAGAACTAATCTAATGAAGTAAAGGCACACATTTCTATGAAATTTAGCCTTAGGTGTGTTTAATTCAATTCAACTTGCCTTCAAGTAAACTTGTCAAGCATTTATGTAATACCCACTATGATCAAGGTCCCGAGTTTGGCCCTGTTGGGGAAAGTACAGAGAAGCTCATGGCTGGGCCCTGCCCTCTCAGAGCTCACAGTCTGGGTTGGAGCCGCACACCAGTGCCTGGACTGCAGGTCAGTGTGGCCCTCTAGGCTGTGGAGGTATGGATGAGGTGCAGCTCATACGAGCTGCCTCTCTGGTTAGGGCACAATTGCAGTCCTATCTCGTGCATTTTAATATTCAACTTCTAAGGAAAGTCACACTCAAGCCCCTACGTGTGTGTCTTTGCAGGAAGTCGGCTTCTATCCTGCAGACTCTCTACTACATTTTCTTCCCCAATTGCTCTGCCTGCAAATGCAAGGGAACATGACCATTCTTTTGGGTGCCCTTTGCTTGGAACTTGACCACACACTGATGCTTAAAAAAATGGTACTGGTTCAGGCTACAACTTCCCCATTCGCTGGTGTGCCAATGCCATGCTGGTCCAGACCCTGAATAACCCCTGAGATGCTGCCTCAGCCTCAGGCTCCTGTGGTGGGGGCTCTTTCACGTCAGACACGTGGGCTTAGGCATCACTGCAAAGCATAGCTTCTCTGTGGGTTGGACTTCTGTTACTGGAGCCAGCCCTCTGCTTCGGATTCTTACCCTGAACCCAGGAGCCAGTCTAGACTCTCTGCCCTCATATGGGGAGTTTCACTTTGGGGATCTTTTCCTGGCAGGTTTTTCTGCTTGAAAAAAATCGGAGCTCTACCCCAGCTGGCACCAAGCTCCAGAAACAAAATGGGAGGGGCAGGAGGTCTTGTCCTCCATATTTTTTTCTTTCATAGTTTAGCCAGAGGCCTCCCAAATTTCGATACCCCACCTCCCCAGTTCAGTGAAACACTCTCCTTATAGCTCCTTAGAAAAATAGAGTTTGAGTTTTTAAATTTTTGATGTTTTTATCTGGAGATGACTAGACTACACAGATGAGATAGAGGTTGTATATAATTAGAAATTGACTGGTAAAATGTAACAGAAAATGGCTATTGGCTAAAGGAAGATAAGCCTCACTAACAAAAGAATATTTTCTCCTTCCAGTGGATTCTTAGGATTCTTTCTCATGTTCAGCACTGTGAAGCTAAAAAGCCTTATGGCACCAGGACAGTGTGCAGCCTGGATTTTTTTTGCTAAGGTAAGAAAGAGGGAAGAGTTGGGAAAACTCTTACCTCAGGAGCCTTTGTAGTCAGTGTTCTTAGAGCCTGTGTAATGTCAGCTTTGATCTCCAAGAAATCATTTCCAGTCCCTGGCCCAAGCCTGATCCTCCACTCATTCAGGCAATAATGTCTGAGGCCTTCTGGCTATTTTATCATGCTCCTGAAAGGTGACCTGGGTAAGCCCCTTAACTTCCCTGAGTCTTAATTTGTCCACTTGAACATGAGAGGTTTTGCCCAATAAAATCTCTAAGGCTTCTCCAGTCCTTAAAGACTGGATGCATGGGGAGATTCTTACCTTCCTTCCTTGGGACTCTGAGGGTGTCCAGAGCTCAAATGACTTTCCCAAGAAGTCCAGACAGGAGTGACAGAGAAAGAAAAATAGGCAGCCGGCTAGGTTGGGCGACTCCAGTGAAGCAGTCAGAAAAGGGACTATTAAAAGAATGCCCATTGCATTTCTGATTGACCATGGTTGGAGAATAAGAGAAAGAGGTGGGAAAATAAGGAGCTGAGAAAGCAGCTGTGGGATGCATGACCTTAACTGAGATGTTTGGAATTAGCTTCTTTCCAGTGGAGCATTTCAATTCCCTGATGTCTGTGAAGGAGTCAGGTTACAGGGCCCACAGTGTAGCTTCCAAGGAATAAGGTTTCTTCATTTAATCTAATGAAATAACCATTTAAGCTTGTTCCTTTAGTCATCTTCATGTTTGTTGGCTGATATTTTTCCCCAGAAAACAAAAACAAACATTTTTCTTTGAAAAATCAGATTTCATCCAGTGATATTTTTACTGCATGGTCTACTTTCTAGAAGTATTAATAATGCTAATTCCAGCAGACGGTGAAGAGAGGCTGAGATGCTGATTTCCAGCAGGATGGAATGAGAAGGTTGCCAAATCCTCTCCCCAAAAAGGAGCTAGAAAGCTGTGATAAGATTGTCAAAAATATCCATCTCAGCTCTCTAAAAATTGACCAAGGCATACAGCATGCTGAGAAGCATTTGCTCGTGAAAAGTACTAAACTTTGGGTAGAAACAGCATGAGCAACCTGCTCCCATTCCCTCCTCCCCAGGTCTGTCAGAGTGATATTTCAACCAGAGCAGGGCAGGCTGTGAAAACCAGCAGACTTGCTGTCACTTCCATAATACTGTATTTGGAGTATTTTTAGTTAAAGTGGCCATGTCAGTGGTAAAATTATAGAAAGAGTTGGGAGTTCCACTCTCTTGAGTTTACAGTCCTCTTCGGGGCAAACATTGGATCAGTGGTCTGGCTGGAGACTTAATTGGTAGTCTTGGGAGGTGAGACAGCTGTAAGGGCTTCATAGCTCCCCATATATCCTAGATTGACCTTAGTTTGTATGCACAAGGAGCAGAGGTAGAGTGTGTCCAAGACACTCACAAGTACCTGGCCGACAGAGCTTGTGTGCACACACAGAGGACATGTGAGAGAGCCAGCAGAAAGTAAAAGCTGGGGCAGATACAAAAGTAGCCTCAAGTTTGAATGTGCTCCCCAGCACCCCCACAGACTCAGAAGCAGAGAGAAGCCTTTTTGGCTCAAGGTGTTTGAGCAAAATATCTGACTAGTGTTTGCCAGAACACTAAGCTATACAGACGTGGATATGACCCTTAGAAATCCAAGTTTAAAAACAAAAACAAAAAAATTGAGAAAAGACATGAACAACTGTACCTTGTGTGGTTACACATTTCATGGACTTAGTCCACACAAATTACTAAACAAGCAAAATAATACCAGTTAACAGTACTCTGGGGAAAAAGTCAGAATCCAGAGTTGCTATCATATGTTATCTAAAATGTTCAGTATTCAGTGAAAAAATTAGAGGCACTCAGAGAAGCAAGAAAGCATGATTTCATGCACAGATTAAACAGCAGTTAATAAGAACTGTGTTTGTATGTCTGTCCTCAGATAGGATTTAGCAGAAAGAGCCTGCAAAGCAGCTACTTAACTATGTTCAGAGATATAAAGGAATCCATGTTTAAAGAATTAAAGAAAAGACCCAGTAAATACAGAATCTCAATAATCAGATAGAAATAATTTTAGAAGAACCAAATGGAAAATCCAGCACTAAAAAGTACAGTAACTGGAATGAAATGAAAGAATTCTGTAATGGTACTCAAACAAATTTGAGATGGCAGAAGAAAGAATAAGTGACCTGGAAGGCAGAGCAAAAGAAATTATTCAGTCTAAAGAACAATTTTTAAAAAGTGAACAAATAAAAACAGAGGCTCAGAGACTATTTATTTGGAAATTAAATAACATACTTCTAAATAGCCTGTGAGGCAAAGAAAAAAATCACAAGGGAAATTTAAAATATTTTGAGCCAAATGAAAACAAAAACATAGCATGTCAAAATGTAGGGATACAGCCAAAGTAAAGCTTAAAGGGAAATTTATAGCTCTAAACACCCATCTCAGAAAAGAAGAAAGATCTCAAATTAATAACCTAAGTGTCCACCTTAAGAAACTAGAAAAAGAAGACCAAACTAAACCCAATGTAAGCAGAAGGAAGGATATGATAGTTTAAGTAGAAATTAATGAAATAGAAGACAGAAAAGCAATAGAAAAAAATCAGTTTGTTCTTTGAAAGCATCTACAAAATTGACAAATCTCCAGCTAAACTGACTAAGAAAATAGGAAAGAAGATACAAATTATCAAAACTAGAAATGAAAAAAGAGACATCACTATGGTCTGATAGAAACTTAAAGGATTGTATACTATGAATAACTTTAGTCATGCATGTTATGAGTAACTTGATGCCAGCAAATTAGACAATTTGGATGAAATGGACAAATCCCCAAAAAGTTACAAATTAGGAAAATTCACTCAAGAATAAATGGAAAATACTGTAATTAAAATTATTTCCACAAAGAAAATCCCATTCTCAATTGGGTTTATTGATGAATTCTATTTAAGGATGAAATTTTTTCTTCACGAATTCTTTTATAAAGAGAAAGAGGGACCAACTCACAATTTATTATATAAGGTGTTATGCTGATACTAAACACCAAACCAAAAAAAAGAAAAAAAACCCTAAGAAAACTTAGACCAATATCCTTCATAAACATAGATGTTCAACAAAATATTAGCAAACCAAATTTGGCTACATGCAAAAAGGATTTTATACCATTTATTCCAGAATGTAAAATTGGTTTAACATATGAAAATTAATATAATACATTATATTTATAGGATAAGGAGCAAAAATACATGGTCATGTCAATAGGTGCAGAAAATCATTTGACAAATTCTAACACTCATTCATGATAAAAACTCAACAAACTACTAACAGAAGGGGACCTCCTCAACATGATAAAAGGCATCTGTGAAAACCTATAGCTAATATTATACTTAATAGTGAAAGACTGAATACTTACCCCTGAAATCTGGGAACAACACAAGAATGTTTGCTCTCATCACTTCTATGCAACATTGTACTAGAGGTTTTGGGGAGTTCAATAAGCACCTCCCAACACACACATACTCAAAGGCATCCAGATTAGAAAGAAAGAAATTAAATAGCCTGTATTCACAGATGACATTATCTTATTTGTAGAAAATTATAAGGAAACTATAAAAACACTAATTGAGCCAATAAACAATTTATCAAGGTCTCAGAATGCAAAATCAATGTAAAAAATCTATTGTAGTTTTGTAAGTAATGAACAGTCATTTTTATAAAAATGAAATTAAGAAATTCCATTCATAATAGCATCAAAAAGAAAAAAGTTACTTAGAAATCTAACAAAGAAGTTCAAGATTTAGACATTTAAATTTATAAAACCTTTCTGAGAAAAATTAAAGATCTCAATAAATGGGGAGACTTGGTATTGTTAAGATAGAAATTCTTCCTAATTTGATCAATAGATTCAGTGTAATTTCTACCAAAATCTCAGGAAACTTTTTGTGCAAATTCACAAACTGATCCTAAAATTTATTTGGAAATCCAATACACAAAATAATTTTGTGAAAGAAAAACAAAGTTGGGTGACTTAAATTACACAATTTTGAAACTCATGTAAAACTAGAATAATCAAGATATTGTGGTATTGGTGTGAGGATAGGCATTTGTGGTCTATTGATTTTCAAGGAAGGTGCCAAAGCAATTCAATGAGGAAAGGATTTTCTTTTAACAGATGATACTGAAACAGTCAGATATTCACATGCCAAAAAAAAAGGACTTAGACCCTTACCTCACATTGTTAACTCAACATGGATCATAGACCTAAAGGTAGGAGCTAAAACTAGAAAACACAGAAAAAAAAAAACCTTAATGACCTTGTTTTAAGCAAGGAGTTCTTAACTATGACACCAAAAACATGAGCCATAAAATAATTGATAGATTAGGTAACATTAAAACATTTTGCAACTCAAAAGACACCATTGAGAAAACAAAAAGACAAGCCATATCCTAGGAGAAAATATTTGCAAATCATATAACTGATAAAGGACTTGTATCCAGAATATATGAAGAGTTCTTATACTTCAGTGAGACTACATACAACCCAATTAAAAAAATTCAAAAGGTGTGAATAGACGTTTCATTAAAGAAGAGAGATGAATGGTTTATAGTCCAAGAAGGAGCTCAACATCATTAGTCAATTAGGGAAGTGCAAATTAAAATCATGATGAGATATCACTACACATGCACCAGGATGGCTATAATAAAAAATATAGATGCTATCAAGTGCTGACAATAATGTGGAGAAACTGGAACCCTCATAAGTTGCTAGTGGAATGTAAAATGATATAGCTGCTTTGGAAAACTGTTTGGCTGTATCTTAAAACATTAAACATGAACTGATTATACAACCCAGCAATTCTATTCCTAGGAATCTACCCAAGAGAAATGGAAACTTATATCCACAAAAAGCCTTAAAACATGAATGCTCAGAGCAGCATTATTTGTAATAGCCCCAAACTGGAAGCAATCTAAATGTCCATCAACTAGTGAATGCATAAACAAGATG